GATACTGAAGATGTGTCATATTTTGAACATTACAGAAGATGAAGAGGACACAAAAGACTAACACAGCATCAGCCTCACATCAGAAAGATCAAGAAAAGCAAATTACTTCAGCTATTCATTACAGGGTCATTGCAAGTTCCTTTATTCCATACAGTGATCAAACATAACAATTCCATACCCAAAACAAAGCGTTATTTGTGGAATAAGAAATGGACGGATAAAATGGAAACGACATAACTTCTCTGTTTGAGCTTTATCAGGGTGTCAGTCAATCCAGGCCAATTGTCCTGTCTCCATTATGAACTTCAAATTCACAAGGCTGAAGGTTGAATCAAGAAATGTAATTGTCCTGCGATAAGCTCCTCCCCTAAATCTTACAGAAATTCAGGGGTTTTAGCTTTCTGCTTCAACCATGAATTCTTCCCAAACCTATGTGCTGAAGACCCAGTGAGGACCCGCATGATCTGTCCTGTGCCCCTCCAACCTTCCCTGTGCTCAGCTTTTAGCATCATGGCCTTATTTAACCTGAAGTACTTTACAGTTGCTCAAAAATTCCTTTTCGCCACTCATTCTGCTGCTGTATCAGAAGCTGGCTTCCTCTGGGCAAACATGCCAGAGGGCCTGGTCTCACAAATTCCAACCCTACAACAAACACAGCAGCCTTTTCTAGTACAAAGTGACTTACTCTACACTCAGGACTATATAAGAACTGTAGCGTAAGTCCCAGACCAACATGACCTGCAAGGAATCCCATGATCCAGTTAAATGACTCTCAACACTAGCAGCACAGTACAGTCACCTGGGATGGGGTGGAGTGTTGCTAAAAGCACTCAGATGATTCTGATGACTCCATAACCCTGGTCCACTGTGATGTCCTGCACTTCCACCAAGGTCTGTGATTTCTGTGTGGAGTCTGCCAGTCGCTAGATCTTTTCTCCCCAAAGTCCAGTCCCTCCTCAGTGTACTCACTGAGGTGGCCAAAGGCCTGTCTGATGAAGCGGGAAGGATGGAGCCCTGTGCTCTACATGCCTGGTCTCCTCCACCCCCATATATCTTCTCCATGTGTGATGTGACTTTTTCAGTGAAAACCCATCCCAGAATATTCACAGCCCTTTCTTTCCTCCCAAACCTCTATCAACTTACAGAATAAATGCTCTCTTCCCAGAGTAGCAGTTGTCACCATCAAATTTGGGTTCCTATTCCCTTTAGGAGTCAATAATGAAAGAGGAATGGAGGGGAAAAGAGGAGGGAAAAAACCTGAGCATCCTCAACTCATTCATTAAGAAACTCTGAAAAGTATCCTGTACCTCTGCTTTGTACTACCCATGCTTCTTCCTATTAATTGCTCATTACTATCTCCTCCACTGAACTGTAAGAACTCAAAGCCTGTAACAATGTCTGGCACTGAGGAGGTGCTCAGTGAAATGCTTGAATGCCCCCCAAAAAATGAGCATCTGGAGAAGGAAAAGAGGAGCTGCTTCACAGCGGGAGTGGGAAAGATGCAGCCATGGTTTCACTGTTACGGGCCAACAATTACTCTCATGGATAACTGTAACCACAAACAGAATCAGCAAACTCACAATCTTATATGAAAATCCAACAACTACTTTTTTGTTCTTTAAACATAGTCTTGCTTCCTCTCAAGGTGTTTAAACAATTGCCATCTCCTTGTACTCCCATTCTACTTTTCTTCTTAGACCACCCAGGTAGCAGCAATCCAATTGTTCCAAACTGCTCTGTTCTGCCTATTTCACTATTACTATTTTCCAGCTCAGCAGCAGCCTAGTTGTTATGTCCCTTCTTATAATAGGAACAAGAGCTCTTTCCAGCTCTACGCCACAGTTTAAGAGAGATTAGTTAAATGTACAGTTAGTCTTTCCTTACTCACTTTCTGACTGCCACAGTGTTTTGAAAGTACTGCAAACTACAACTGCTTATCCACAAGGCCCTTTGAGTAATGGTATGCTTATCTAAGAATTCCAGCCTAAATGGTACTTATATTGCTGTGTGTAGGAAAATGCAGCCATGCTGTTTCAGTAATTGTATGGTTCCTGAGACTGTGCTGCCTGCACCTGACTAGGTGGATGGATCTGGTGCCTCAGTTCTTGAGAACCAGAATTCAAAAAAAAACAAAAAAGTGAGAAGGACAGGACAGCAGTGAGGTCACTCTCGCTTATGGGACACCTTTTAAAATACAGGAGCACAATTTCTCTCCAACATTAGCTACAATTAAAGATCCCCATCTGGTAGTTTTAAAACACTATAGGATTCAAAATGTGAATGGCCATTTGACTCAATGTCAAGGCACCACAAAGGATGATGGAGGAGCTAGGCAGAGTCAGCAGTACTGAGCTCCGTTTATTTGAATTGTTTTAAAAATTGCCAAGACCCCAGTCCAGTGATGTACATTCCACCTATTGACTGATATCTTTATCCTTTTGGACTACTTGCTTTAAAATTATCAAGGGGTATTTGTTTAAAAATAAACATTCTAGAACTCCAGATCAATGCAGAACAATGTTGGGAGTGAGGCCTCGAACTTACCCTGACCAAACAACTCAGCTAGGTTTTTTGGTAGGTTTTTTTATTATTATTATTCATATGTGCATACAAGGCTTGGGTCATTTCTCAGGATTTTTTTTTTTTCTTTGTGGTATTGGGGTTTGATCAGGGCTTCATGCTTATGACACAGGTGCGCTACCACTTGAGCCACATTTTCAGCACTTTTTGCTCTGGTTAATTTAGAGATAGGGTCTCGCTTTTTGCCCAGGCCAGCCCGGTCCCTGGTCCTCCTACTTATGCTTTCCACCCTAGCTGGAATGATATTTATGCATCACTATGCCCAGCCATTGGTTGAGATGGGGTTTTGGCAAACTTTTTGCCCAAGCTGGCCTCAAACTGCATCCTCCAAATCTAAACCTCCCAAAGAGTTAGGATTATAGACATGAGCCACCTTGCCTGACTTCAGCTGGTTCTATTGAACCATAAAGTTTAGACTGCTGTCTTGAGACCTAACTGCTAAGCTTCAAATAGCACTGTGAGCAGGAATTAGTCATTTTTCTCAAAGGGTCTAAAATCAGGCTTTCATGGAGCAATGAAAAGAAATGGAGGACACTGATGAAGGGGACACTACCAAGGGGAGGGAATAGAGACAGAATGGATAATGAGCCAAAGAAAAACTTCTTTATGTCATAATTTTACCCCAGACTTAATGGTCATTTGTCATAGTTTAGTTCAACTTAGCAAATATAAATTAAACTCCTATCATGTGCCAGGCACTAGGGATAAGAATAAATAGAACAGAGTCACTTCCCTAGAGAAGGTTACAGTTTGATAAAGCAAGCTCATAAATGGGTGATTTAAATATATTTGGTAAGATCAAAGATTGAGGTTTGCACAAGAAACTTTGTTTTTCATTTTATTTTCATAGTATTGTACTGGGGGTACATTGTGACATTTACAAAAGTTCTTACACTGTATCATAGTTGAATTCACCCCCTCCATCATTCTCCTTTATCTCCTGTCCTCTCATTTCTGGAAAAGTTTCAAAAGGTCCATTTTTTCATACACGAGTATGTAATGTTTCTACTACATTCACCCTCCTACACCCTCTCCTTATATCCTCTCCCTCCCGCTGGTTCCAGCCCCCATACAGGACCTGTATTGCCTTCCTGTTTTTTTCTTAAGACATTTTTGTTTGTTGAAGATAACTATGAAGGGTGTTTCATTTTGACATTTCCATGTATGTATGTATTATAACCCAAATTGGTTCATCCCCTCTGTTTTTCTCCTTTCCACCTTAGTCCTTAGTCCTTTTCTTATGGTGATTTCAACAGTTTTAAAGTTTCTATATTCATTTTTGTGTAGGAAGTAGATCAATGATATTCACCTTCTTAACTTCCTTCTTTTGCCTTCCCTCTCTCATATGACTTCCCCTTCACATGAAAATTATTATTTTTTAATAATTTTGCTTGTATTTTATTCTTTATAGCTAAATAAAATTCCATTGTATATAAATATCATGTTTTCTTATCCACTCATCAGTTGTGTGGCATCTTGGCTGTTTCCATAATGTCACACAAGAAACTTTGAGGGCTGAGAAGACTTTGAGGGCTTAGGAGACTTACTCCTAAGAAGGTAGTACCTGTGCAGGAAAATAAACAGCCATGTTTGGTTGTGCAGTACGAGTACTACTGAGAAGGAACTAAAGAGGAAGCAAGAATTGGAAGGAAATGGAACATATTCCCACAAAGGGCCACCTGAGGAAAAGAGGCTCTGAATCATAAAGCTGTGTGTTGTATCATGAGAGACAAGCAGGTCAGGGCTGCTTTCCCATAGAGTACCAGGATTGAGGATAGGTAATCAGTGATCCTGGGAGGTAAACATGGGTTAAGTGAGAAAGATGTATATGTCCGCATTACTTTTATACATTCTGTGTGCCAGGCATCTAGAAGACTTCCTGCATGAATCCCTCTAATTCATTGCACGTTTATGGTCTCAAAATGTTAATTGTGCTTGCTCCAAAAACATACAATCAGTTTATGGCCCCTCTCTCAGACATTGTTCTTGGAATTTTAATAACTAAAAATTTGAGCAGAATATCGAAATATACATTGGGATGTTTTGACTATCAGTGGAAAGTTACAAAAAAACAGTAATATTAATAACTTTGGAAGAGAGAGGGAGACAGATGAGCAAAGTTTACTTCTTTCAGCACATCCTTTTATGTTGAATTTAAATTACTTACCATGTATATTTATTGCCTATCCAATAAAGCATACAAGGGAATTAAGACATGATTGTTGCATAGCCTAAAGTTGTCTACCAACATATAAGACTGATTTAAAACTAAATTGATGCCTTATTCAATAATAAGTGAATAAGTGACAATAATAGCAACATTAAAATAGTTTCATCTTTCACAGCCTGCAAAAAACAGGAGATTGGGGAAAGCTTTTTGTACACCCTGTATACATTTGGCCTTTTAATTTTTTTAACAGTTTGCAGCTCATCTTGTGAAGATGAAGTATCCAAGGGTCTGTATTCTAGATGGTGGCGTTAACAAGATCAAGCCAACAGGCCTTCTCACCGTACCTTCTCCTCAAATATGAAGAGCCAAGAGTCCATCTGACAAATGGACAGAATGGCACCAATGCCCAGCAGCACATTCTTCACAGCCATGTATGTCACTCTAAGACAGAACTAGACGTCCAGAGTATTGCATTTCCATAAAGCTTTGCCATGACACATTTTCGTAAATCTCATAACCCAAATAGTCTGCTGTCCAGGCAAGAAACTTGACTGTACATGTATTGCTAAAAGAATTCTCTTAACAGTGAAATCTGATCATGTATTTTTACCACACTGCCACATAAAGCTAGAGGAATGCAACTGACAGGACAGATTTAGCATGATCAAGAAATCCCAGTTGCACCGAAAAAGCCATCCCCCATTGTAGTGAACAGACAGTCCTAACAAGGGTGTCGTGTAGCAATACAGACTGAATGTGGCCTGAAATTATCTTCTGTTCATGATAACAAAAACTGGAAAGTTATTCACAGTGTATACTTGTAAATAAATGCAATGTTTAGGAATTCATTTACCCACATAATCACTCTTGTACGTGTGGGTGTGTGTGTGTGTGTGTGTGTGTGTGTGTGTGTATGCACATATGTTTAGAAGAAGTGGACTTTAGCCCATTTCAAAAAGCAGAAATAGTTTATTCCCAGAAAAATGAAATTCAGGAACCATTCATATTTCACCAAATATTTGTTCAATGCCAATAGCAGAGGCCCAAAAACTGACTAAAATAATTGTAGTTTCCTTATCACATAAAAGGCTACGTAGTCAGGCTAGTGTATTGACATCATAATCCTTTAAAACCCAGTCAGTCTCCTATTTTATTTTTTTATCTTCTCAATACATGGCTTCCATCTCATGGATAAAAAGGCTACTCTGTTTCCATCTTCAGATCTGTGATATAGAAGAAAATAAAAGAGAGGGGACGAAAAGAGGAGGGAAGGAATAAGGAAGGAAAAAAGGAGAGGAGAGGAGGCATAAACTATCAGTTGCGTACATCACTTCTGGTTACACCACATTAGCCAAGACTGCAGGACTTACGCACGTGGCCACATCTGGTATAAGGAAAACTCTGATTATGGTCTTTGGCTGAGTGGCCATCTTCCCAGACAAAAATACCTTGTTACTCTTTGGGAGGGAGGAGGAAACACATTAGGGACTGCTAGCACTCTCTGCCACATTAATAGAAAAATACTCCACTGAGTCTAAGACACTGTCATTTTACTCACCACAAAGAAAGGAAAATGCAGCCAAATAAACTAAAACACACCATTCAATAATAAATTGCATATTTTTTCAGATTTCTGAAATGGGAATGTATCTTATAATTGGTGAAATATATCTTTGTCTTCAGTTTTATTTTGATTAAAAAGTATTGATTCCTCTGTTACTTATATTCCTCTTCAGTGTGAAAACTGCATAGTCTGAACATTTTAATAAGAGCCTCAGCTTTCTGGGCCATGGTTTTGTTGCTGCTGCTGTTGCTGCTGTTTAGTTTGTTTTGTTAGCATCTATTTTTATTGAGATACGCTGTGCATACCATAAAATTTGCATACACTTTTAAAACATACAACTCAGAGCTCATGCCTTTAATCCTAGTTACTCAGGAGGTGGAAATCTGGAGGAGTGCAATTCTAAGCTAGCCCAGGCAAAAAGTTAACAAGACCCCATCTGAAATCAATAAGCTGGGTATGGTGATGCATGCCTGTTATCACAGCTGTGAGGGAAGCTATAGGTAGGGAGATCAAGGTCCAGGCTGGCTGGGTAAAAATGTGTTACCCTACCTGAAAAATACTAGAGCCAAAAAGGGCTGGAGGTGTAGTGGTAGGTAAGTGGTAGGGTACCTGCCCTAGCAAGCACAAGACCCTGAGTTCAAACCCCATACCACCAAAAAAACAAAAATAAATTATGATTCATTGGTTTTCAGTATATTCACAAAACCTTGCAATTACCACTACTATCTAATTCTGGAACATTTTCAACACCCAAAACCAAAATCCTAACCAAAATCCTATGCATTGATTAGCAATCATTTCCCATTATTCCCTCTTGGGTTTGATTTTTGTATATGGAATGAGGCAAGGGTCCAACTTCATTCTAACATGAAGATATGCTGGTCCCAAAGTACTACGTATTTTGTTTTACTCAATTATATTTGTGGTTATTCACCAAATATAGTTTGAATTCCTACTGTGTGCAAGATGCTAATGTAATCAATAGTTATACCATTTTGTGTTCCATACAGAGTTTACTTTTAAAAGTAGGAAATAATGAGGAAAAATTCAAGATTTAGCTGATACAATTTTTGAGTCAAAGTCTTCTCTGCCTAGAGAAAAATCATTAAATCTTCTGATTCTGACAGTTGCTATTGCTTTTCTTCAGTCCTTGGTCTGAGAGTGAGAATGAGGCAGTGATGATCATTTCAAAAGAGTTGTTCTGCATCTTAGCTTTGCCTTATTAACAAAGTAGAGAAGAGAGGGATGGAGGGGCCAGAATTTGAATTGATGAGGTGATAGCTAGGAGAGGATGAAGACATGAATATTGTGAAAAGAGCTTTGGAAGAAGAGAATACCACACAACGTCTATCACAATTTTTCGTTTGGTCTTTCTTAAAACTTGAGACTTTTAGAATTAATTCAAAAGATGGGAATTTTTAACATACAAATTAGAATATTTAATATTCTCAATAGTAAAATAAGAAAGAATACAGGAACACTGCCATGTTTATCTGCAAGGCACGTTATTTTACAACAGATGATATAAAGAAAGCTGATCTTACCAACTGTTTTATTGAAGCAAACCTAGGTCTATAGTGCATTATTGACTCCTACACTATCACTGTCAGCAGTGTTTCTGGCATCTGCCATCTCTTCCCTCCACCTGGAATGCCTTTACTGCTACCACCAACCCCCAATACACACACACACACGCACACACTCATCCTTCATGATCTAGCAATAATGGCATCCTTTTCTGACTTCTTCATGCTGCATTAATAGCCTCAAGTCTGTCAAACCATTCCATTCATACTTCTAGTCATAGAATTGTTGCATCATTTTTCAGTTACTTACTCAAATTTGGGTCCCATGTTAAAATATGAGCTCCCTTCACAATTTATATCTTCTGCTACCTTTAGTAGACCACATATTAGAGATTCTCACTTAGTGTAAAATTGAACTGAATCTTTAGAGATTTTTAAATCTATATGAATGGAAAAAAAAATTAAAACTTCCCATAACAATTTTTCTACTGCTGAGCTTCTCTGGGACATGATGGCGCATAAATAAATTGAAACGTCAGTTCACTGAATAAAAAAAAAAGTATCTAAAGTTCACTCAGCTCTAAAATTTGATAATTTTGTATAAGTTGGAACAGATAAGTTCCAACAAGATTAGTTAAATTAGTTGCATCCCTTTTCCAAAATACAGATACACCACATTTAAAAAAAAAAATTCACCAAGCTTGAAAAGGAAGAGAAATTTCTTGATGTCAGAAATGAAGAAAGACTGAAAGGAATAGCTGTGAGCCCTATGGACTATCCCATGTCCATATAGGCCGTAGGAACTGGAGTTTTCACCTGCACATATGAATATAAGACATAGCCTTGGGGCCTTCTGATAGGAAGTTTGTATTAAGACTACTTTATGAAGTACTAGCTTCAGAGAACTCTTTGCTCTGTGCAATGGCTGGAAATAACTTCCCATCAAATCAGGGTAGCTACAAATGAGATTGTCACCAGCCCTGTATTCTCAGTAAAGGAAAATAGGTCTCTTGCAGACAGATGGCAGTGTTTGGTGGAAAGGCTGGTAAGTCCCTGATTTAGAAAAGGCTTTAGGGCATGTGTTCATGTGACTATTTAAAAATGAGAACAATTAATTATATAAAACTTTTGGAAAGCATAGATGGTATCAGATCTTTCTTTGACCCCTCTCTTTTTCCTCTTCCAAATAATTTTTTCTAAAAAAAAAAATACCTGTTTAGAGATTTTTATCAAAAGAATTCTACACCTCAAAAGGAATTTATGCAATAGTCTCATCCAATGAAACCCACTCTAAGGAAGGAAGACTGCCACCTTGACTGTCACGGGGTTGTGGCTATTTCATTCTATCAGTCATAACTAGCAATTATTATACATGCTAACTCCTTATACCTATTATTACCCAAATATTACATTTTTCTTGATAAGCATTAATCCAAATATTAGAAGCAAAATGATGCTTATTATAGATTTTAGTTTGGGTGTTCAATCTGAAGACCCAGATTCCAGACCTTACCTAACATTTGACATATAACAGCATACACAGTTACTCATTCAGACTTCAGATTTTATAATCCAGTTTTATCTCATGTGTTGGAAGTAATGCATGTTGTAAATAAACTTTTTAAAAGTTAGCATGATTTTTAAATTGCATATTTATGTATTTTCTGAATAGTTTTCTTTTTAATGCCCTTATCTTTGGTGCTTATCGTATGAAAACTTAACTAGGAACTTGACAAATTCATTGTTCTCCAGATAGATGGTGATATGCATAGCTACTGTAACTTTCAGGTGTAACGTCTCCTCTTTAGTGTACATCTTTTAATATCCTTTCTCACCCCTTTCAGACAGTGTATGTTTAGTTTCCATTGTCTGCATCATTTCAGTGCTCACTGTGACCAATAAATGGTACATGAGTAGGTACCAAAGCACTGTATTACAACATTCCAGGATTTACACATTAATCCTCTGGGCAGTGAGGGTTAAAACACTATCCTGTTTTGGCTTTAAACTAATCTTTGTGCTTTTTAAAGCATTAGATCAGATTCTAAATGTTGCTTCTTGCCAAAACTAAAGCAGTCAATGTTTTAAAAATATTACTGTATGGATGTGGCTCCTAAAAATATAGAGTATGACTTACCATTCTCCAAAAACCCGTAAAGGTGTGATCACTAGCATCAAAACATAAAGTAAACCATGCAAAGGAGATTTCATTTTCTCATTAACCCTTAAGAAACCTATTTACTTTGACTGTTATTAATTATTAATTATATTAGCATACTTCTCAGTCTCTTGGGATAGAATAATTTAGTATTTTAAGTTCAGAATTGTGCTGGCTTGAGAGAACTGAAAGTGCCTGTCTCTTCTGAACTCCATGGCCAGTGATCTCACCTTGTAGCTTACAGTCAGCCATGACAGGAATATTTACACCCTAGAAATAAGCAAATATCATAAATCAGGGCTTTCTTTATATTTTATTTATTTTTGAGATTGTTTGGTTAACAACATTTTCCAACACACCATTGATTTCAGCCATTCTAAGGTTATATTATCCATAGATTATAAATCATGAAATAAAAAAAGGAATTTTAAAGATCCAATCCAAACACCATCATGCAAAACAATAAGGAAAGTGAGAGGATTTTGTAAAATTCATGGAGCCAGTAAAAGACAGATCCAAAACTACAATTCTACTTTCCTAATTATCAACCTATTTCTCTCTTCTTCATACACAAGGAACAGAAAAGCCATCAATTTCAATTCATTGTGGGTCCCTGTGAAGGACACAAAAAAGAAACATTGAAAATGTTGGTTAAACTGACTGCTGACTGTGAAATGGAAATGCTCAGAAAATGACACTATCACCTTCTCACCCAGTTTACACATTCAAAAGTGAAGATTTCAAAAAAAAGAAAAGGAAATATGCATTTGAGCATGCCAGTCCGAAACTCACTGTTCTCAGGAACTCTTCTTATATATTAAATTACCTCTTCACTATTGAAAAGAACTGGGGCAGGGGTGGGGAGAATCCCTATATAAGAAAAAATTTTCTGTCTAAACTAAAATCCTTGATATACTAGACTGACGTTGGCCCTTAGCCTTTCTTTTCTATGTGTTATCCAGGAACCTGGCTTAAGAGATTGGAAAAGTAGCTGGTCACTTTCCTAGTCATGCATAGAGAGGCACTAGAGGGTGTGGCATAGGTATTTTGGGAGTATTTAATCATGACGGAGAAAAGACAGACATCATTTAGATCATTGGGTAACTTAAAAATGTTTTTATTATCTAAGCTAAACTATCCTGATAACTTACTAGTCAGATAGCATATCTTTCCTAAAATTATCTTTAAGATCATTAATAATCCCATATGCCATGTGTTCATACCCTGTACTCCATACAGAGACACTGAGGATTTGAAAGGCATGTGAGGATTAAGATTTCTGGATTAAGGCCAAATGACTAAGAGGGTTATTTGCAAAGTGATGTGCATTCTAGGAAGAAATCATTTTAATAGGTAGTAAGAATTTTTAAAAATCTCTTCAGTCATGGCAACATGACAGGATAAGAAATATAAATTGGTTCAGCCAGCTACCACAGAAATCAGTATGAAGGTTCCTCAAAAAACTAAAAATAGAACTGCCATATGGTCCAGCTATGCCACTCTTGAGTATATACTCAAAGGAATCAAAGTCTGCATACGCTAGAGATACCTGCGCACCCATGTTTATTTTGACACCATTCACAATAGTCAAGTTATACAGTCAGCCTAGGAGCGTGTGTGTGTGTGTGTGTGTGTGTGTGTGTGTGTGTGTACAGTGGAGTTTTATTCAGCCATAAAGAAAAACAAAATTATGTCATTTGCAGGAAAATGGATGGAACTGGAGATCATCATGTCAAGTGAAATAAACCAGACTCAGAAAGACAAATAAAACATGTTTTCTGTCATATTTAGCATCTAGGGAGGGAAAAAAAAAGACATGAAAGTAGAAAGGGGACAATGAGGGAACAGGAATGGGAGCAAGGGTAAGAGAGAGG